CCCCAAAACCCCAAAACCCCAAAACCCCAAAACCCCTTCAAAGTGTCTTCTCCTGAACTTTTAAATAAATTTATCACCAGCAAACATGAAGGAATTAAAGCAAAGGTAGGGGTAGGGTCCGATACATCTTTGAGCTCTTATCGTCAGTAAAAGAGTCTACCTATTCCCTCCAAACTTTAGGGTTGCTTTGGGAAACCTATATCCTTTTATGGTCCTTTAAGACTTATTGAGGAACAATTTGTGAAGCTTGGCACAAGATCTTTAATATTGGAGGCTCAGAGATAAGCTGAGTTTCACAACATTGCTTAATGATAAATTCTTGCTTAAGTTTAAATAAAACCCACAAGCATTCAAGAATCATAATCTCATGAGGAGTTAGTGTTTCTCAAACCTTCACTATTTGCCTATTGAACTATCTATATGTATAGACTACTCTCTGAAGAAGGCCTTGAAGAAGCATTGCAAGAAGAAAATGATGTAGATAAAACAGAAAAAGAAGCCAATAATCTAAAGCAGGTAGGAATTTAAAGATTCTAAAAATGATTCATAAGAAAATTAGGAGTGCTCTAGGGTCATTTTGGACATATTCCAAGTAGTTTTAATCCGATTTGGATCACTAATACGATGAGGGAATTGCTAACTTAATGGAATCTAAAATTAATTTTATAGGTAGAAAAGAATCAGTTTCTGAGCGTTGTCTATGCCGCGTTCTGCGGAGTTATGTTCTCCTTTACTAATTATATCTATGGTCACTTTTCAACATCAGGGACGGTGACAAGAGAGACTTTTGCGTTTGGAACATTAGTATTTGCAGTAGGATATTATTTCGTCGAGTTTATTCATTTTAAAAGGCAAGGTAAGAAATATCTGACCTGGCAAGACAGCAACTTCAGAAATCCAGAAACAGGAAAGTTCTGCTGGAAAAGATTCAGCGCTATTTTTCTCTATTCTGCGATAATATTGGTATCAGGCTATTTCCTTTTGTATACATTTCAGTTTGGAACCTATGGAAACATGAACCATGGTATCCTTACAAGTCTATTTGGTCTTTCCGCCATTTTCTCTGCAGTCTTAGCATATTTTCTATTCGGTGATAGACTCAAGATATTTCATGTAAGGCCTTTGTTAGTAATATCTAGGTAATTGGAATAATCTTGATGCTGATCTGTATAGTTGGCTTAAGTCTTGGATCTACTAAGAACTCTGAGATAGAGCTACTGGATGAAACTGCAGCAGAAATCTCTGACACCCCGCTGTTCTATGCCTTGTTGTCCATTGCTCTTGGGATAATCTGACCAATCAGTTTTGCAGGCTCTGGTATGGTCGTACGATATGCTTCAAATAACTACGGGACTAAAAGTCTTCAACTTACTCTTATAGGATTTTTATGGTACAATATTGTGTTGTTTCCTGCCTTATTGATCACCTATCTTGGAGGATATCAGCCTTTCATTGCTTCAGACTTCTTACTGAACACATTTTGAGGGATCCTTGGAGCATTTAGTATTATCGTCTTGAATAAGGCACTCACTTTAGGCCTTGCAGGCCCTGTTTTTGCCCTTGCTAATCTCCAAATTATCATCCAATCAATTCTTGATGCTATCTTCCTTAGCCAAGTCCCAACATGGATTGAAATAGTAGCAGCCGTCTTTGGAATCCTCGGGTGCTGAACTATAGCCCTGGGGCCTGACCTAGCCAAAAAATTCAAGTCAAACCATGAGAAATACCAAGCATCTGACTCTAAAGACATCTAAAATATTTCAACTATAAATTCTCCTTAAGGGGTTTTGGGGTTTTGGGGTTTTGGGGTTTTGGGG